TCCCCCCCCCTCTCTCTCTCTCCCTCCATTCCTCTCTCTCTCTCTCTCTCTCTCTCTCTCTCTCTCTCTCTCTCTCTCTCTCCCTCCCTTCCCCCCCTCTCCCCCCTCTCTCTCTCCCTCTCTCCCTCCCTCCTTCCTTCCCTCCCTCCCTCCCTCTCTCTCTCTCTCTCTCTCTCTCTCTCTCTCTCTCTCTCTCTCTCTCTCACTCTCTCACTCCCTCTCTACCTCCCCCCCCCCTCTCTATCTCTCTCTTTCTCTCTACCTCTTCCTCTCTACCTCTCTCCCACTCCCTCTGTAACTCCCTTCCTCTCTCTCTCTCTCTCTCTCTCTCTCTCTCTCTCTCTCTCTCTCTCTCTCTCTCTCTCTCTCTCTCTCTCTCTCTCTCTCTCTCTCTCTCCCCTCTCTCTTTCTCTCCCATCGATGCTGCTTCGGTCATTGTTCGAACGCGCTTGCAGGCTGCCCCTAACCTTCAGTCTCGGTCACACAGCACCCGCCGGCCAGCCCCATGGGATTTGATTTCTAGTTGGAACTAGATAAGGGTAGTTGTCTTTGAAAGATTCGTCCTGTAACAATGTCAGTGTCATTGTTATATCCTCTTCATTACCATAATCATCATTAATATTATTTTTATTATAATGATAATAATGATCATAATATTAGTATTAATAATGATGATGATGATGATGATGATAGTAATAATGATGATAATAATAGTAACAATAATAATAATAGTGATAATTATAACACTGGTATTAACAATAATATATTAATAATGATAATAATAATAATAATAATAATAATAATAATAATAATAGTAATAATGATAACACTAATAATAATATAATGATATAATGATATAATGATATAATTATAATACTACTACTAATGATAATGATGATGATGATAACAATAATAGTAATAGCAATAATAATGATGATGATATGAATATCAATTATAATGATAATAGTATTCATATTAATGATAATAATAAAAAGTGATAATAACAATAGCGATGATGATAATGATACTACTATTACTACTACTACTACTAATGATAACAATAATAATAATAGTAATAATGATAATAATAGTAATAATAATAATAATAATAATAATAATAATAATAATAATAATAATAATAATAATAATGATAACAATGATTACAGTTACAGTTATCATCATCATTATTATCGTTATCATGACGGTAATGGTAATTATCATTGTTATTACTAATATTGCTATCATCATCATTATTATTATCATCATTATAATTATCATTATCATTATTACTATTATTATTATTGTTATTATTATTATTATTATTATTATTATTATTATTATTATCATTATTATTATTACTGCTTTCATTATCATCATCATCATTATTATTATTATTACTGTGACAAGTGGGACCCGTGGAAATTCCACAGAACGAAAAAAATAAGTACTTCCCTCCTCTCTCCTTCTCTCACCCCCCTCCTTCTACTTCCAGTCCCTCTCCTCCAGTTTCCTCTTTCTTTCCATTTCCTTTCACTGGCTTTTAAATTTACTCATCCCCTTCTACTTAAAGCCTTTCATAAATCCGTTTAATAGACTTAATCAAATTTTAATCAATCTGTTTAATATCTTTTCCCTTCTCTTATTCCTTAACCACTTTCGTTCCCTTATTCCATTTTCTACCTCCTCTATCCTTCTTTTCTCTCTAATCCCCCTCTATTTCCTCTTCCCATCCCCCATTTATCTTTCTCTGTGAGTGCTCTCCGTTTTCCCTCCCTTTCCCCTTCCCCATTTCCATTAATCTTTGAGCTCCGTTCCCCTCCCTTTCCCCTTTCTTCTTTCTTCTCTAAGTTCCCTTTCTCAGACCCCCCCCCCCCCCCCCGTCCCTTTCCAACTTCTCAATTAACCTCTCTCCTCAGTTAGTTTATGTGCATAAACTGACGGTCTAAATGCTATTAGAATAGTAATAATAAAATTATTATTGACATGCTACTACTACTACTACTACTACTACTACTACTACTACTACTACTACTGCTATTACTACTACTACTACTACTACTACTACTACTACTACTGCTATTACTACTACTACTACTACTGCTATTACTACTACTACTACTACTACTACTGCTACTCCTACTACTACTACTACTACTGCTATTACTACTACTACTACTACTACTACTACTACTACTACTACTGCTATTACTACTACTACTACTACTACTACTGCTACTCCTACTACTACTACTACTACTGCTATTACTACTACTACTACTACTACTACTACTACTACTACTGCTACTACTACTACTACTCCTACTACTACTACTACTACTGCTATTACTACTACTACTACTACTACTACTACTGCTATTACTACTACTACTACTACTGCTATTACTACTACTACTACTACTACTACTACTGCTATTACTACTACTACTACTACTACCACTACTACTACTACTACTACTACTGTTATTACTACTACTACTAC